CTGCTGAAGCGTTATGAGAGACAGCACTAATGCCTACATAACTGCAAATGCGTTTCACAGTTTTGATCTCATACCTCACGATATCGTATTGTAGAAGAACACATATTTTCATTAAGTTGGAAGGCAATAAAACCCTGAACGGGAAGATTTCTTTTCACTTGCAGCATTTAGACATTGCTTGACAGTATCATATTCTTATGTCTCTATCACCCACAGTAGTTAAGTGTGAACGGTAAAGATAAGGCTGACTGTAAGATTTTAGAGTAGAAATTATGTGCAAAATTATGTTGTTTTCATACCTGGGTTCTGGTGATACAGTGAAAAAAAATTCCACAATTTAGTTGTATAGATTGTATTTCTAACCATTCTACTGACAAACATGTAAAGGTGTGGTAGATAAGAAGAGAGGCAAATCTGACATATTTTCAGGAACATGGCACTGCGAGCAAGGATCTTTGAGTTCATGCTTGATATTAACTTGCTTTTGTGTTCCAGAGCAAGATAATGTGGCAGCTCTGCAGTTTTTCCAGTTCTGACTTGCTCACAGTAAAACTCCTATTTAATGAAAGATATTGATTTAGTTTATATAATTTGATGAAGAAGTCCCTATTTGACTAATAGATGGTCCAAGCTTATCAGTACTTGTATCTGACAGAGTGAAACAGTTGGGATAATATTAGTGAATTTACCTTTCTGGAAGTTGTTGCTTCCATCAGTGGAAAAGGGAGAAGGATGAAGGGTGGGCAGGTTGAACTGTGACAAATAATGTGAATTATCATTCTTAGCTGCATGTCTGCCAAAAAGGAGACTGGATCCTTGCTAACAAGGTAAACAAAATATATTTCAAGTGTTGTATTTTGAATCCGTAATATTGTTTTCCCCAATGTGAGATTAATTTCCTGGAAATAGTTATGGAAACAGGACCTGGCAGCGACCAGCTGATAGTCATTTCTAAAATCTGAAAGTCTAAAAGTTTTCAAATTATACCGTAGCCTTTATGACCTTTATTCAGAAAGTTGCAATAAGGAAAAACAGCAAATGTGTTTCATTAATAGCAAATCACTGTTCATGTCAGTGGAAGAAAATGGCAACGGAGAGTATATATAATAAAAAGCGCCATCAGAAAACTGACTGGCCATGTCACACATTACTAAGAGCCTGAACAGGTCAAACTGAACGTTTGAAATTTGTCATTTTGTAGTGCAGAACAAAAGGAGGACAAGAAACATGTTGAAACGGAAGAAAGTGGAGGACAGAATATATTGATAGGAAATTTGAAGAAAAGAAAATCATCATTTATTGTGTTACCAGAAACACTGGCTGGAATTCCCTTAGATACCTCGCCCTTTGATATACCGTGGTCCAAATTTTAGATGTACCTAAACCAAGCAGCATTTCCCCTAATCTGGTTCTAAAAGATTTACTCCGAATCTAACTGTATATTTTAGGTATCTGACTTCCAGTTTGAGAATGTATATAGAGAAACCAGATCACTCTAGCTTTACTGCTGTAGCAGCAGTAGCCATTTGTAACCAAGGATGTTTATGTAGGCTTATTTTCCATACTCACTCCTATCTTCTCACATGTAATGAATATGCATATATACGTATATGTTCGTGTGTTTAATTTAGAAATCTGTTTCATTTTTCCAATATTTCAGTATTTCATTTAACTCATTCTTTTTTTCCCTTTCTTTTCCTTTTTGATGTTAAATCATCTATTCTATTGCAGATGCTCCTCTCCATGTCTTGATCATGACAACAGCAGGTGAACTTCTGCATAATTTCTTTCTTTAATACATTGCACTTCTCACCCACCCTATTTATCCTCCTCTCTTACCTCACTTCAGGATGCTTTAGTGTTTTGATAGTGCACGTTAGCCAAGAGAAAAAAAAAACTATTCTGCCTAGCAGTAATAGCTACACATGGCCCTGTTCCTCTTCTTATACAGTAAGTGTCTACTTTCTCCCATCTGCTCTGTCCTCTATAAGGAAAGAATACTGGACACATAAGTCCACTGCAAAAAATTTTAACAAAGCTCCTTATACATTCCTAGATTTAATAAACAGTACATTTTATCTGTTGGTGGCATGGTTTAATATTGTTAAAAGGAAGGAAACCCCCGCACACACACGAATAATCCAGCATGAACCACTGTAGACAGGTTTAGTTTCAACTGTTGTATTACAAAGTGGGCCTTTTATCTCACTTGTCTGTATAAAGAATATTGCAGAGCCACTCCCTAGGCCATATTTTCCAAATTGTGCCACCATATTGGAATCAGTAGAATAACAGCACAGACCCAGTATATTTAATTTTTCATGCCACACGCATTTTTTGTGTGACCTCGGTTAATCAGTGGTTGAATCGCTGGCACGTTGCCTCCTGCACAGAGCACCTGAAGCCGTATCTTCCCAAAGGAGATTATTTTCACTTGGCAAACTGAGTGTTTGTTGGCACAATACCTCTTCATCTCCTTTAACATAGCCGTAGAAAGGTGAAAATCTTAAATATTCAGCTGTTCAGAATTATTAAATGGCTAAATAAAAACCCCAATGAGAAACCCATATGTTTAGGTCACGTCACTCAATCTCTCTGTAGTTGACTAAGGCAGTGAAGAGAATGTTACCGTAAGCTAATACTCCAGTGGTTTGCTGTGTAGGATCATGTTTTTTGTCCTCCTGGAATGTGCATTTTGCCTTGTTTATGTATGGCATAGTTTGATGGAAAGCACACTGAGGTAGTTGAATGACTTGCTGTTGACTTCAGCGGGAGCTGGATCAAGGCCTTTTTTCTTAATTTCAGACTCTCTATCAGTTTTCCTTCTCCAGCTGAACACTTTACGATGGCTGAAGCACCCTGATTGTTTGTTTCTGCTTCTTCACACTGCGACTAACACTGAATGCTGCTATCTCCTTGTTTCCCAGTTTCTTTTAAAAATGAAGATAACGTATGCAAAAAAAGTTCTTAAATGTGTCTACCACAGATGTGCCCTAGTTAGAGCTTTTTATTGTTTCCTGCTACCTGATGAGAGCATGTGTGCCTGCCTAGCTAGTTTGAAAGAATAAGCATACCTGAACTGACCGTATGAAAGCAGTGGTGTATTGATTCTGCCTATTCTGGTTTTGTGTGCTCAAAGAACTATTGCCTGTTCTAGAAAGACACTTTGCGATGCTAGGTTTGCATGGCTCCTCAAATGATTCTGCAGAATGAGAAGTGCGTTTGAGTGCCAACACGCTTGCGTTCGCAGCCACCTGAAACTGTGACTCTTCTGCAAAGCTATTTACATAACAAAGATGCTTCACAAATCACACAATAAGTATCTTCTTTCACCCCCCAGTGTTGACGCATCCATTTTTTATTTTATTTGTTCATCCTGCTATTATCTTTCAAATGAGCATAGATGTAGAATAAAACCAAGTTAATTCCATATGAATAAAATAAGCAAAGGGAATAACTCAGGCTCAGGTCTGACATACAAATATTTCATGAAAACACACCACAACTTTTTGTCCTTGTAAGGTTGGATAAATCCAATGCATATACGTTGTCTGTCTTTTGTTAAGTGGAGCCAGCAGAAAAAACCCATTGCTGTTTGCTCTGCTCTCTGTAGAAGGCATGGAAACAGCCTGAAAGATTTAGGGGCCTTTTATAAATGTCCTCAACCCGAAGGATGCTGTAGCCAATGTTATTTGATATAGTTACCTTTCATATGGCAAGTATGTAGGTTTTAATTGCTCTAAAATTAAAGAGAATGAAATGGCCGCTCTAATTTATGAGTAAGTATTGCTAAATTAGAGGAGAATGGATGATGCTTGATCTAACTGCTAACCGTGTGTTTAACAGGAGCATGTATAGACTCCCCTGCAGTCTGTAACTTATTCCTAGAAAATAATTGCTTTTGTTCTTCATTTTTTATTAAAAAAAAAAAAAAGTCCTGATTTCCCCTTCATTCTCTTTAAAAGAGAGAAGGCAATGATTTCCCAAAACCTAATTTGTTTCATTGATTTGGCTCTTATATTGGACTACCACCTTGCTAAATCTCAGGAAAGCTCAGTATCGATCCAATTTGCAAGACTGTCAGGGTCACGTGTTTGTGTCATGCAGCATTTCTAACTGAACTTTTAAAACTGGCAGAAAATAAAACTTACTCAAAGGCTGTCTTAGTACTGACAAAGATCATCTCATTGTTGCCCTAGTCACCCTTGACATATAAATTCTTTGCTGCTTTAACCCGTAATCTGCTTTGATTTTGAATCATCACTTAATTGAAATTTAAGTTCTTGCCATGGCTTGCCAAGATAAACTGAAGTCAGTGCTAAAGAAGGATGCTTCCCCTATATGTAGTTATTATAGGAAGGACATTTAAAACATGTTCGGAAATAGGCTTTTGCTGATGGAAAGTACACGTAATTTTGACGCATTGCTTGATTAATCAGTTCACTTAGTTTGGCCACCTTTGTTTTAAATGGCCCGCAAGAATGTTTTCCTACTTATCAGCTGTCCAAAGGTTTTCTCCTATATTTATACTGTTTTCTCTCTCCTCAGTTTTACCGCATTTCAGTCCTTGCTAAGGTTTTCCTTCCCCTATTATGCCATTTTTAACCCCTTCTGAAAATTGTAGCTATTGTATCTACATGGAGTCCCTGTAAGTTGTTTTGGTTTCTTTTACATTTTCCTTAATTTTTAATATTATAAAAAATGATCGTAGAAGCATGTAAGGAAACACTTAGCCTAGTTTTTTTAGGATGCCTCCTTTCTCTCCTCTTCTAGTGATAACCTGTAAGAGCTTTCTGATTCCCTTTAATACCTTTTATTAACATTTTTTCTTTTTTTTTTTCTCTTGAGCTCTTCACAGCCATTTGCGTTTCTCTTTAATGAGCCCTCTCCTCTCCGTTCTATGTACGTAGATGGTTGGTAGTGCCTGTAGCAGTGCTTCCTGCAATTGGAACGTGGAGTAAGCTCTGAGTTTCCTTAGCCAAAAGTCACTTTTGGCGTCGCCTGGTTAGCATGAGCAGCGGGTACCCAGCGCCCTTTGCAGAAGGAGGACCTTAGGAAGTTTTCAGTCTGAGCAGGGAAGACCGATGCAAAGGTCGAAGGGGTACCTCTCAGGGATGGTAAAGCAAACCACCGTCTCCCTACATGCAATAAGAGAAGCGCCCCCACACCTAAGCTTCACGGAGTATATATGATGTTGGCGTTATTCACATGCTAGTATTATGGATTATTTTCTCTTTGACCATGGAAGTTTTATAATGAAAAGGTACCGCTTCCCAGAGTGATGGCTTTAATCTGCCAGTTAATGCCTGCTAGTTTGGTTTGTTCATTTGGGTACAATCTCTTCCTATCTCAGTCTCGTCACTTAACAACATCTGATAAAAGAAATGTTAGGGAGAAGAAAAGTAATGTGTGTGTGCGTGGGCAACAAAATAATTAATTTGAATTTTACATTTCCTTTATATTAGTCATGCAATTTCTTCACTTTCCTAAATGCACATTTCAGAAAGCATGTTTTATGCCATGCATTAGTTTTGTGTGAACTATTTGTATATTGATATGCACAGTCCTTCAAAAGGGCAAAGCTTGTCCAGTCCTGGATCAGTAACGTCACCATCCAGGCGCCCTATTATGTAGCAAATAGGCGGAAAAAGAGGCTGCTATGATTTAGAAAATACTTTGTTATGAATTATTTGCTTGACTCTATTGCATTTCCAAAATAATGTGAAATGTGCTGATTAAAAAAAAAAAAGAAAAGAAAAGAAACTGGATTAAATAAGTGGATGACAAAATGAATGTGGCAGAAGGCTGGGAAATGAACAGGGTGGTACGGTGAAAAAGAACGTATTTTTATATTCTGTGTCAGCTCTACAAATCCTGCATCGGTATACTATCCTTTCAGACTTTCATGCCACAGCTCTGGAGCTGAGGAATTTTCCACTTTGATTTCTTTCTTTTGCACTATATTCATGCTAGTTCTCCAAATTTGTTCTCTGGAAATTTGATAGTAGTATATAGCCGGTTTTGTGAACCGGCTCCTCCATATTTAGTATGATAATGGGCACCAGTCTTCCTATGCTGTCCTCATACTATTCTGTGTTTGCCTGAATTTGCTGTCCAGCAGTTCAGGGGTATTTGCAGTCTCTTAGGTGGTTTCAGACTCACCCAGAAGTCACAGGACCCTTTGGGAATCTCCCATTTCACCTGCGGGGCTGTTTCAGCGATATTTATTTTTTGGCGTGTACTGTGATGAACACTCCTGTTTGCCAGATTGTGTCTCGTTATTTAGTAAATACGTTACATCTTCTCTATGATAGAAACAGCTGGTTTTATAGTGAATAATAATAATATCCTACTGGTTTTATCCTAACCATTGTTATCTTTGTGTCCACTTTCCGATGACACCTATCTTTGGCGCACCAGTTGGTTTCAGCGATAGATGGCTGATAGACCTTGTGCCAGATTCACTGGCAGACCTTGCTCTGACCCCCCAGGCACATTCAGTAAACCTAAACTGAAAGGCAGAGTTGCAGCTTTAAGGCCTGAACACGCACAGCTATCCCTTTGCATCTCGAGGGCTTACTAGAGACAAGCGCCACGCTCCATTTTTAATTCATCTGTATGAGATCCCAAGTTTTGCAGGTGTGGGAACACAGGGCTATGCCTGTGTGCGTGAGGTGAGATACCAGTTTGTTACAGATGGTCAAAATCAAAGACTACGCCTGCTTCTTCAGCTTTTATATTGGTTCTACACCACAAGCTCGTTATCTTAGTTGTCTAACGGGTGCTTTAGGCACTGCTATTTCAGCACTCCGCTTATCTTTTAGTTAATCTGAAAGGAATTACTGTATGGAGAAAGAACACCATATTGAAAGCAACAGAACCCATTATTGTGGTCAGAAGGGAGATTATTTCATTTGGACCCTTACCTTTTGTGTGTATGTGTTCTTCTAGCAGTTAACAGTGGGTTTGGCATTGCTGAGACACATGGGGCGATAAGCTAAAGAGGACATAAGACGGGTGACCTAGCGCTAATATTTCAGTGATGGACAGCGAAAGAAGGTGATCCTGTTGTTAAAGTATACAATCTTGAGTATTATGTCAATAATGAAAGTAATTGAATCCTAAAAATTGTATTCATGACAGCTTACACAATGAAGAATGTGAATGCTGATTTAATTCCCTAAGTGCACTCATTAGCTTCTGGTAGTTGTGGGGGTAGTAGTTCTGTTGCTCATAGGATTAGCATCAAAATGTGAAACACTTCTTCCAGCACTCCGTGTTACTACCTACCTCTAACGCACCCATCATAATAGAGACTTGGACCCATTCTCTGAAACATAATAGACCCGCTCTGATAATACTACTTCATGCAGTTAAAGGAAAATTGCAATGCAAGCCATAGAGCATTATTGCAGCAATTGAGCATTTAGTATCTCTTAAGCTCTTCTTTCATCTGTGCTTTAAAATGTATAAAGTATGTATTTTATGAAGGAAGCTCCCATTTTTCGAAATTAATCCCCAGAGGATCAAAGCTGTAAAATGTTTTCATTTTCTTTTTTTCCCCCCTGTTAAAACCACAGAAACACCAACCTCTAAGGAATGAGATAATGGTTGTACTACCCAGAGTTTTACACTAAACAAAACCTAGAGGTATATGAATGGCAGTAGAATAGGAGACTGCATGTGTGAGAAAGACTGGCATCCATGGTGCATGGTGTGCTCCTGACTGGCGCTTGTGGCTCCTTTCCATCGTCCATTTTTCTGACTTGCACGGTGTGTCGAGTGTTGTGTTTTTACCGCATGTGGAATTACTCGTAGCTGTGTGGACAATGAATGGATGCAATGTTTGTTGCACAGAACGGTGAAGGGGACAGTGGAAAAATACCTGTATTTGTTACTCGTGTTATAAGGGCTTTTCTCTATTGCAGGTCCTTCAGTAGCATTTCTGCGACTCCCCATGTGATGATTCTATTTTAGTGGCTAGAAGTAGGCCTGATACCGTTCTGTCTCATCTACTTTTATTTTCACTTCCAGCAACCTGACATTCCCATCCCACCCCACATCAGGCATGATCCTAAGTCATAAACCAGTAAAAAAAATTGAAGTAGTTCTATACCTTTCCCAAGAATGTCCCCTATCTTTATAACAAATCGGTCAAAATCTCCCTGTTGGTTATATATGGAACTATAAAAAGTTCAGCAGAAAAAAAATTCCATGAAATGTTTTTCTCCCCTTTAAAGAAAAAGAAATAAATAAGATAATTTACCTTGTGCTAGAAGAGGGCTCCCTGTAGATGGCTTTCTGCATCTGTAAGTTTTCCACTGGGACGTTGTACTGCTGTGCAAAGTAACACAGAAAAACAAAAATCCATAAATAAAGCTCTTATACAGTGACTGTAGCTATTGTCATCTCACCAAAACCCAAAATTTGTCTTCAACCAATAATGACATGTTGGGTTTTTTATATAAATAGGTGCTAGCTCCACTGATATATTATGAACTGTATCCACGTACTCCAGAATAAAATTTGATTTTTTTTAATCCAAAACCATTTTTTGTTAGAAATTATAGTTTATCAAATAACTAGAAAATTATATAGATAACCTAAAAAAAAACCCCAACAACCCCTCCAATCAGAATTGGCTTTATATTCTTGAGTCATAAATAATTTTCTTTAATAAGATGTATTTGCTTGTGAAGTATTTCAAGAGTGCCAACTTTACAACATAGATACTTGCAGGTACAGAGCAGTGATACGTGCACTTGACTTTGTCTCTAATAGGTACATGCACACGTGCTCACATTTATTAGTGACTGCTGGTATTTTTACCAACAGCAGCACTCTAAAATAAGGCTTTCTGCGAAGAACTCTTAGATAGTAGTTGTCAGTGTAATGAATAAATGATCTTAGCATGATTTGATGCTTCACATGGGAGAAAGGCTTTTTCTAATTATACATCTTGAGAAAGAGCTATATTTACATACGTAGTTTGTTACGTATGTGGAGCATAACCAAAAGAATTTCGATATGTTCTGTATCTAATTTTTTTTTCCTGATTTTTCAGCTTCCTAGTTAGTTTCATGGTGGATGCTCGTGGGGGTGCCATGAGGGGTTGCAGACATAACGGACTACGAATCATTATTCCTCCGCGGAAATGCACTGCTCCAACGCGAGTGACTTGCCGGTTGGTGAAACGACACAGACTGGCCACCATGCCTCCCATGGTGGAAGGCGAAGGCCTGGCCAGCCGCCTGATTGAAGTCGGACCATCTGGTGCTCAGTTTCTTGGGTAAGGGGTGCCATACGGCCGCAAGGAAAGCGTTCAGTCTATTTTCATCTGTTTGCAAGTTGCACTGAAACGGTTCCTTTTTCAAGACTTGAACAGAAAAAGATGTTTGTAACATATGGTAACAGACCAGTCGTGTGAAATACAAATCAGTTGTTAGTTAACAATTCACAAAGCTTTTACGCCTTTTCCTTTGAAAACGGATATTTTAACCACTAGCGCTAAGGTTAATGTGCTTCCTTGGATATAATTGTTACTCAGTGTTGTGATATTATAGTGGGAAAAGACCCCTTTGCAGCCAGAAAAGGCAGTTCATACTCTATTAAATAATCTGCATATAAGGCACGAATAGCACAGCACTGATCTAAAGCCCAAATGTAACGCCTGCTACATATACAACACAAGTTACAGCTGCTTATTTTAGAGACTTGTGTTGTGTTATCAGTAATTTGGACTATCAGGGAAGCACAGCGCCTTTGATTTTTCTGGGGTTGAAATTGCTAAATTAAGCAATAGGACAACCCTGGAATTTTTTGGCCGTTTCTTTTGTCCTATGCTGCAAAACCCGTAGAAAGATCAGATTTGTGTCTGCTGCTGAGCTTATTTTAGCAATTTTCAGCTGAAAGCAGCAGTTATCCACACTTTCTTTTATTTGTTTTACCAACTGTTCTCCCTATCAACTGTGGCATCCAAAAGTGGATGATTGAAGGAACCCCTTCTATTACAATAAATAGCTTCATTCAGAAATTGTAAAAAAAGTGACTCTGTAAACAGTGATAGTTTAAATCCATTTCCAAACGAATCAGTTGCTTTAAAATGCTATTATAACAAGCAGTCATCAGAGCCACTATCTTCGTTAGTGCTTTTTCTGAAAGATTGAGCTTAGTGAGAGAAAAAAGTCGATTGCTAGTTTTTAACTGCCCACTGCTTTTATGTGGAGTGTGAAAGGAGAACATACCCAAGACGTGTTTTGGCTACTTCACTGTTGCTCTAATCTGGTAAAAAAGCAAGAGCAGTTCTGAAACGCTGCAAATGTGATGCTAAGAGCAAGCCAACCATTCCTTTTGACAGACAGGATACCTCTTGATATCGCAAGTAACAGCAAACAAGCTGGCTAATCAGATGCTTCCTAGCACTTATTCGTTTCACATCTTGGTCACTTTTAAAGACGAGCAGAAAGAAATCCAAAGAGTAGAAGAAATATTGTGCTGTCACAGTCTTCCCATTATCTTTGTCACACACAAATTGACCTTAAGTACGTCTCCCATTCTCTTTTTAATTGTTTCTCTGCCTAATGAGAATGTCTCACCTGAAAGACCAGGATATAGCACAGTTTTATTCATTCTCAGATCTTTGTGCCCTTCCTGCAAGCATTTTCCTAGGTGTTGTACTGGCAGCGAAATCAGAAAGTTACTGTACTGTTTGCAGAGATGCATTCTAAGGTCCAAATCCTGTTCCCATTGAGTTCGCTGCCAAAACTCCCACTGTCTTCCCATAAGCAAGAAAAGATCTTAAATTAACGAACGAATTTTGCTGATTTTGATCACCAAATTGTCATCGCTAGGACGGAACCTTGTTCAGTGTACAGCCTAATTCCACTCTGTGGACCAGACAGTGGCACTGGCGTTCTGGCACAGAAAATACATAAAGTTTATTTATGTTCTTTCTTTCACTGCTGCTTTGGATGTACTCAGTAAACTTCATCTGCCTACGGCTCCTCCCCCACTTAATGAGGGAGAAAGCTTGGTCAGCCGAATCCTTCAGCTGGGGCCTCCTGGGACCAAATTCCTTGGGTAGGAGAGACTTGAAACAAATTGATGGATGCTGACCTCCCCATTCTTCTCCTCCTTCTGCAATATGATTTTTTTATGTCATTATGCCCATGATATTGTCCCTTTCTATCATTTGAAATTTTGTATACCTAACCCTTAGTGGACCATTTTTCAACCCTTGTGGTATGTGGTTTTGTTTTGGTGGTATGTTTGTATCTTTTTCTTGAAGTACTGTGGCCTTCATTTTTGTTTTGGCATGAAATCTTCCTAGTTATGTGCTTGATGTCTGTAGCAAAGCAACCTGGATTGGGACAAAAAAAAGGAATCTACTGTAAATTTTAAGTTGTTTTTCGTATCAAGGACTGGTTAATCAATAAGTTATATGTCGGATACCACCAGTATAATAGAACACATGACATTTACTATGTACATGGTAACCTGTCTGAGTCCTCTAATTAGAGAAGTGTATCTACAAATATATTTGTATTTTCTCTCTTATTTCTAAGAGTATGTATGTATATATATAAATATAGATATATGTACACATATGTGTTGTATATGTGTGTGTATATATATATGGACGCATACATTGATACATCTATTGATATCTGCTTGTAAGGCAACAAGGCAAATTCTTATCTCCTATACTGACATAGAAACCCAGATGATCTCCTCAGACCTCCTTTATCTCTTCCAGAGTGTAAATCAGAAATAAATTCATTGGAATATATAGAATTACAATGAAGTAAAATTCGCACAGGACACAATTGCCCACTGATTGCAATGAAATTGTTCTGATTTGCACTGGTATAAGCGAGATCAGAATTTGTCCCACTATTCATATACGTTACAGTAGATTCTCTTTGAAATGAAGTTGCACAGGTTAACCCAGACAGTAGTGACAACTAAAATGGGCATGAGTTTTTATGAATTTGCAAAACAATTACCAAATTTCTAGCTACGCACTATTATATTATCAAATATCTTTCACACTGTGGAAAGAGGTGAATGTGCTTTTTAATCTGTCCTTCGGCATTTACTGAGTCCCTGTAAAAATCTAATATGTGTTAGTGACCTACTAGTTTAGGATTATGCCAAAGTATTCCAGCGAAATAGGTAGAATTCCAGGTCACTTTGTAGCAGACTGAGTAGAGTTGCTGTTAATCCTGTTTCTTCCTCTCTCCCGTGTGCATTTAATGCGCTGTGTTGCTGTGCCAGGCCTGTGATTGTGGAGATTCCCCATTTTGCTGCTCTGCGTGGGAAGGAGAGAGAGCTGGTGATCCTGCGCAGTGAGAACGGGGACAGCTGGAAGGAGCATTTCTGTGAATACACTGAAGATGAACTGAATGAAATCTTGAATGGGATGGATGAAGGTATCCAGTGTGACATATTTTTTTTCTGTTCCTGCATTACTTCTGTAACTGGGGTTAAGAGCTTTTTACTATTTATTCTATTTAGCACCTGATGCTTGGTCCACCCTGGAATTTCTGACGCTACATTCTCCAGATACTTCATTTCAGTCACACTGGTGCATAATCGTGTTCTCAGTACAGGAGCCAGTGGAAGCACTGTGTACTTGTGCTTACTTCCCTTGCATGATCTGCTGAAGTACTGGGACAAAACAAAATCTACCATCATGAAGTTGAGAATAGATGCTAGACTTATGTTTTTTACTGCTCCTTTTCATAGCGGTAAACGAAAAGCTTCCATAGCAAACATCTTTCCAAAACACGGCAATTACCATACTCATCCTTTGCAAGCAGCTACACGTGTGGGAGGAAATGTCAGTCATGGGTACTTTTGCTTTCTGAGAGAACAGAATGGCCTCGGGATGTCTAGGATCTGCAGAATTTGTTATTAATTTTGATGGCTTTTTTTTTTTTTTTTTTTTTAAAAAAAAAGAAAAAGAGCAAACACAAATTTTTAAAACTAAAACCAACTTTTTATTTTTTTTTTTTTTTTTAAAAAGAAAGTAAACGAGCCAACTCATATACTTACAACTGAACTCACACTTTGATACTTTTTTGATTTGGAGTTTAGTTTCCTTGACGCTGCTCCAGGCTGTAGTGTAAACAGGTGAAGTAGGAAGGGTCTTGGACCAATCCCTTTGCTTGTTTGCCTGCTGATTTTGGGGATGTTGTCAATATGTTCTGAGTTTGCTGTCTTAAGCTCCCCTCAGTTAGTTGTTCTGTCTGGCTCCTTTTCCCCTTTGATTTCTAGAAAAAATACTTTTTTAAGTTGGAGTTAAACTGTGAAAAGCTTGAATGCGTTTTGAAGTTCGCCGTGTTGTTTCTACAAAATTCTTGTCCTCTGACCATCTTCTCTTTTGGCCTCAGTACTTGACACTCCAGAGGAGCTTGAGAAGAAACGTATCTGCCGCATCATCACCCGAGATTTCCCCCAGTACTTTGCCGTGGTATCCCGAATCAAACAGGACAGCAACCTTATCGGACCTGAGGGAGGTGTGCTGAGCAGCACTGTTGTACCACAAGTGCAGGCAGTCTTCCCAGAAGGGGCTCTAACCAAACGAATTCGCGTTGGCCTCCAGGTACAATGAAACAAGGCTTATCTCCCCCCCCCCCCAGTGTAAAATCACCTTCTTTGAATGGCGAACCAGCATATTCAGCGTATCATGTTGGATGTTGTTGCCTAGAATGCTTCTAGTAAAAATAATTTAAAAAAAAGAATCCATGCAAAAGTCAAAGCGAGTTGTAAAGCTTTGGGTATTACAGTTAATTCAGATTCCTGTCTGTTAACTGTCTATATGATCTTGGGAAAAGCATCTAATTTTGGTGATGATGATGGTATCAGTGTAGGTCATAGAACAATTTCTTAAATACTTCTTACGAAAGGCATCAGAGAAGTACAAAGTGCTGTAATAACCAGGTCGAACGCACAGGTTCTCAGCGTGAAGTAAACCAGCCTAACAGTTCACTACTGAAAGAGGAGGAATTTTTTCCACTACCTCCATCCCCGCCTCCTGCTGCATGCATCCACAATTTACCTTGGCCAGGAGATCGTGCTTCTTGAAATCCCCTGTGAATAGCTTACTAAAATAGCTCAGTGCTTGCTCTGAGAAAGAAAAAAAAAAAAAAAAAAAAAAGGGGCTGACAAGGGAATTATTTGCTACTGGTTAAGTGAGTTAAATTACTGCTGTAAAGGATCTGACGAGCACCAAGAAGGGGGATAGGAAGAGGAGGAAGGCGTGGGAAAGTGGAAAGAGGGAGGTCTCCACTTCTCACTGTCAGTCGGTTCTTCTGCCTGCAGATTTTCATGGGAAATTTTGCCATTTAGTGTAAAAACTTAAGGGTTTTGTGGCAATATACAGGCCCAGTTCTTTACCTACTCATTAAACTCTTTTCAAGTAACTCTTCTGTTATTGTCTTTTGCTTTGGAAAGGCTCAACCTATGCATACTGAACTTATAAAGAAGATTTTAGGCAACAAGGCTACCTTCAGTCCTATAGTCACGCTGGAGCCCAGGAGAAGGAAGTTCCATAAACCCATCACGATGACAATTCCTGTCCCCAAGGCCTCCAGTGATGGGATCATGAATGGTTATGGAGGCGACACACCCACTTTAAGGTTACTATGCAGCATAACAGGTAGGATGCAAACACTAGAGCTTTTTATGTGCCTCTTGAAATTGTCAGTCATCGTGGGCTGAATATGTTAAACTGATTATACACATGGAAAGCTTGGTGAAAACCTGACTGGGATGAGAGGCTGTGAAAATAAACTATTTTCCAAACAATTACATTATCGCAGAAATAACATTTGGTGTTTGGACTAACAAGAGATGTGTAATATAATCATAGACTTCGGGGTTGGGTTTTTTTTGCTTTTTCTTTACAGTTTGTTTCTTGAGAACCAACATACCTCTGCCTTGCAGTGTAAGTGTAGTACAGACATAATGTTGCAGTATGCTTCAGAGGAAAATATTGGAGTTAAACACTTCATACTTGCTATAACTCCAAAGTGATTAGCGTCTCATTCAATCTCAGTTAAGAGGCAGAAATGAGCTGCATGCATTTATTCTGTTTAGAAGTTTGCGTCTTTTTTAATTTTCAAACTGATTTCAAATACCAACCCAACGTAAGATGCATTACACACTGCGCGGTGCCAGTGAGTCGTTCCGGAGAACAGGTGCTTTTACAATTTCTTGATACGAAGGTGTTAGGTAGCTCCTGAAATACCAGAAACAACATCTGGTCAACAAAGAAGTGTTTGCATTTCCAAGAGAGTGAAACAATGTTTATTTAAACAGAGAAGAATGGTGTCCTCTGTAAAGAGGAATTTGAGTAAGTTTCTTGGAAGGACAGTAAATCTACAAGGATCCTTTAGAAAACTTCAAAAGGGAAATTAGGTCCAAGAATGCTTCACCAAAAGGAGAAAGGAGGTATTTCCTGAAAACGAGTATTCCTGTACAGACACAACTTTGTTTAAGGTTTGTGTAAAGACTGTGCTACGTGGTCAAATGGATACCTAACAAGTCAGCTGTATATGAGAGGAGGGACAGACACACATTCTGATTTAACCCTGGTTATGCATAGTTTTTCCTTTAGTTCTTCATATTGTTTTATAAATATTCATAACTGCTGTTAGAAATAAGCACTTCTAGTTCTGTTTTCTGTAAGCTCAGTGTGATTTTAAGGTAACTAGAAACCAACTGGACATTCTTCACCAAAAGGTGAGGCAGGGACATATATTGAAGAACTTGAAAACACAGCTGCAGGATGACAGATTGTGCCCACATTTTCAGCTGCATGGGCCAAATAGGAAGCTGGCAACGTCCATGACAAAGGGGGCCGAAACACTTAATAGACTGATAGAAATCCAGAAGGCTGTCTATTGTACAGCGTGGTATGGAGGTGCACGTTTCAACTGTGAGGTCTTCCAGGGAGCTTGTCAGACACAAATTGTTTCACAGGTTTTCACAGCAATGTGCAAAAGAAATTTCTTAGTTATGTACATTCTGGACCTGAGTCATCTTATTTGAAAAAGATTATAGAAATCATAAATTGTAGTTGTCACTATTAGTAACATTACTATTGTTTCCCAAGTGTAACAATATAGGTTTAACTGCGCTATATCTGGACCAGTTTTGCCCCACATATGTGAATAGCCTAGAACGAACAAAAGTAATTGCTGATAAATTACATCTCTCCCCCCAGAATTCTAGCCTCTTTTAACATTTCCGGAGCTGTGCTACAGGACTCATCATTTGAAAATCATTTGGGCACTTTGTTTTCTCAGGGGAAACCCATAGAATCCTACTAGCATTAGTGGAATAACGTGGACCTAAGGAGAAGGCATGTCTGGGATTATTACTGGTCTCATAGCGATTAAAAACTCCGAAGAATGTAAAATATTTCTTAGAAGCAAGAAAGCTGCAGGCTTGCTTGGTTTTAATTTTTTTTTAATCTCTATCATTTCAGGAGGAACCACCCCTGCCCAATGGGAAGACATCACTGGAACCACACCGCTGACATTTGTTAATGAATGCGTTTCCTTCACAACAAACGTGTCTGCCAGGTACCTATACAACAAACCACGAGTTTTACAGTGCCACTTGCAAGTGCATGTATTTTTTCAATAAATATGTCTTTTAAACTGTTTTAGTTTATATAGTAGAAGGAACATAGATATTTTGTCTATGCTGTGAACCAATTGGCAAGGTATTTTGGAAGCCCTGAGCCTCCTAGCCCAGACGGATGCTGTACAAGAGCTGTAAGCACTACAGTCCTTACCAGCTGCGGAAAGAAATTGATGTTCTTGTCATTTTTATCTCGGCCATTAGTCCTTTGCGGTCAGCACCTGCTATGATCCCAGAAAAGAATTAATGACATACTTATTTTTCTGAAATAGTAATCTGAGGGACAGTTCAATTTTCAGGTAGTTAGAAAAAATCTGGTTTCATTTTGAATACCCCTTCTCTCTCCCAGATGCAGAAATATGTAAATTTCCATGGAAACAGAAACCCCTTATTTGGGTAGCTCGTTATACATCTTATAAAAGATGTCACTTCCAGAATATCCAACAAATGAGAAATCAAGCAGAAAGGCCTGTAGGTGTGCCAAACTGTGATCTAGAAGAATCTCTTCCAACCATCTGTTCTTGTGATGAGATTCAACTGCTGTCTTTCTGAAAACAGAATTTCATATTAAAAAAAATAATATATACACACGTATGTATGTATTTTAGTTTGTATACTGTCCATGATTTATATCACAGAAATGCTCCAAAATCTCCTTCTCTGTAACAGGAGATGCACTCCATGACCTGGAAAGTATTAAATTTAGGGTGTGTAGTCTAGCAAACAGTTACAAAAATCTTGGATAACTTGCCCATGAAAATCAATGAATTTCCTTCAGTACAAGCATTCAGTGTCCAGAGCAGTTCCTACTATTAGATTAGGTTTGCTATTTAATGAAATAATTTATTCAGTGTTAAAGTGAGTTCAGCTCTTGCAGTTCAGTCTACAGTATAACTTTAACATTAGGTGAAATAAAATATTCTTTTTCTATACTTTCTCAGTTCCAAAATGGCTTTCTTCCCGTTAAGGTCGAAGCTTTGCTTACGTACATTTCTTTTCGGTTCCACTAAACATTTTTCTTTAACAGCAGTCACCACAAGAGGGAGATCTTAAAGTGGGTTTTAGCTCTCATCTGCTACCTGCAGTGTTCTGTTTAAAGGGGTAAATTAAAGATTAATTTAAGAACCAGATGTGGAGACTAGATGCAAAGTTTGAGAGGTCAAAGCCCCTAAAATTGTGAGGCCCCAGCAGGGCTACACATGAAATACAGCCAGAATGAGGGTGACCGTTTATGGAACTGCAATCCATATTACTAGTGGATGTTTCCTAATGATGTTTCCTAATGTTTCCGGATGATGACATTAAAATTGATTACTATTGCTGGTGTTCTGTGATATAGGCAGGGTCCAATGTAGAGATTTTAGTGTGTTCTAGCTCTTCTTTTTAATCTAAATGATTAAATTCAACAGACTACTTTAACCCAAACATCACTTTAAATTCTTTGGAAGTTAGAAAATGGGATTTTTCATGTATTTACAGTCAGAGAATTAATTACCTTCTTTGCGGAAGGACAAATTAACTTGAATTTCTTCACTTGTGTCCCGGTCTAAAAGTGCATCTACCCTTGTGCCCTGCTGAGAATCAGCTGATTCCTGACTGTGTGCTAGTCACAGTAACTTGTTTCTGTCTGGTTAAATCATTAATGATGGAGAACAATTTTCCCATTCATAAGACTAATTCTAATGAGCTTGGGAAAGAGATACATTTGTGTAAAAGACATGTGAATTAAACTGCAGACTTTGAGGCATAGCTGTTTTCCATTTCCTGAGCTGCAGCTTTTTTAAAAATTTAGTATCTGTTTGGGCTTCTGAGCCCCTGGTGTATGACAGCAAATCGTTTGAGCATATGGTGATTTCTCAGAGGATATAGCCTCTCCAGTTTGAGTCCAGCATAGCACAGCTCTCCCACACATGAAAAGGCAAGTATCAGTATGCAGAGCCTTTATGTACCAAACATGCTTTCTCTCTTTCAAATGTCATCAGCCTGTTTTTTAACCAGTGTGTTTGTTAAATGTTCTAAAGATAAGCACAGCATGAAATTCGCTATTATTCAACTGCAGATGAGTAAGACTAGAGAAGTCACACTTGAGAGGTATGCTTTGTGGGTTATAATACCATGTAATCTACAGTAAGTAATAAGCCCCCTGTAGATTATATGAGCTTTTGAGGTGTCTTTGACCTCTCATGACTTCCATCTCCACCCTACGGCTGTCAAACTCAAGCATGCTTTGCACCCACACAGTGAATTTTATTTAAAAGAAATGTCATCAGCTCCACGGAGAAACTAAACAAAGTGATATCTGAGAAAGAAGGCAATACGTGTTCCTCCTTGTAAAATGCTTGGTGCATTTCTGCTGTTACATTTTGGGAGCAGAAGGAAAATTATTTTCAGCGGAAGTTGTTATCTTTGCAAAATAGCAATTCAGTTGTCTTGACAAAGGTATAAGGAAATTCTGTAAATTTTTATTACCGGGCAATGTTGTCCTGGCCTGAATGGCCCAAAGAAAGGGTAAAGAACCTGTAGTTTTCAGTAAAGAGGAGGGTCATTTTTGACACAAGGGGACCTGTTCTGGAAGCTGAAGTTCTAGACCTGAGTTGCAACACTGGTGGTATGTCTTAGGTAACTGTGTACGTTTGATAAGTTTTGAGGTGGTTTGTTCCAATTCACGCACACTAGCAATACTTCATAAGAGGCAGATGTTCATTTGTAATAATTATTTTAGTGAAATCAGACAACTTATGACCTTAGCCTGTAATCTTAAAGTATTTCTCTGTCATGGTGGTACCTGAATGAGATAGCAGTGGCAGCTCCTGGCCTCACGCCATGCAGAGGAAGTCATTTATTCCAGTAGTATTTGCCTGTTGCTTTGAACATGTTTATGTTTGACTTGGGGTACTTGTGTCCCAGACTGGGAACCGCTGGTATAGCAGATTCAGCATATACATTAGAAAGATGCTGTCAGTAAAACGGCATGTTAGAAACCATGATGAAAAGCGAGTCAGTCGTGATCACAGCCTCTGTGAGGCAAAGGTAGTAGGAATCGGATGTGGACACATCAGCTTTCAGGGTCTTCAAAATATAATATGGCTTGGGTATAGAAATATATATATATATATATATATAGCTGCTCTTCAATATGCATAACAAAAACTTGCTACAAAATCAAAGTTAAATGTCCCTGACTAAACACATAAGAATAATTTCTGATTTTGCATGCAGTGTTATACTGGACAAAATCATTTACATTCACCTAAAGACCCTCAGTTTTTGATATTGTACGTAAGGAATGTACTGCGAACCTTTAAGCTAGATGGTAGAAGAAAAACAAGTGTTTTGGGCAAGGCAGCTTTATATTTCACCTGTTAGAGATGGAGGTCCAAGAACAGACTGAGGTATTAGCAACGCATGCCAAAAGCCGTTTCGGTCTCCCGCTCCTCATCAATAAAACTCAGGAAAATTTCACAGCATCCCCGTCAGGTCAGAAGTTTGTCACAGTTCACTGACACCCGAGTGTGGTGTGATGACGCACACAGCACTTAACAAACAGGAAATTGTCCAATGCCGAGGAAAATTTCAGGGGACTAATGAGAAAAGGATGAAATTGCCCACTCTATAGTTTAACGATTTAGTCATAACCTGGAAGAGAAATGACAAGCTCGGCGTATGACTAGATAAAAGCAATTCTAGTAAGATTTTTGTGGGACATAACTCTCTTCTGCATCATCAGATGTTTAGCAGCAACCAGCTGTCAAAAAGAACCCGTATTTCTCTAGATGAAAGGCATATATTGCATAGTCACAGTTAGGGGGAAATCAGAACTGTACGCTTCCAGTACACCCTTCTCTACTTATATGCTGCATAGAAATCAAATAATGACACGTAATGAACAAGAACAAATTCAGAGACATTTGGGCAGCTCTAGAAGAGTGATGATAAGATTAATCACCATTTCAAGCATCATAGAAACCATTGAAAGTGATGGAAAACAGAGACCACTGAGCTTATTCTAGAAGAGATTTATTTCTTGGTAAAAGGCAGGAAACATTTGATCACATGTTGTCAATATAAGGAATCAATTCGGATGAAAATGAAGTTTAGGCCATAGCCAACTTGTGATTAGAAGAAAAAACATTTATTGGATGCTGTGCTGAATTTCCAGAATTGCTTGATTTTGGTAAGCCATCAATAATTGTTTAAGTATTATAAACATACTTACAAATGGAATATATGTATTTCATAAACACAAAAATATGAAAAGGTTTATGTATTTAAATCTTCAGAGAAGGTGTATGAGACTGTTTGCCAGAGGACAAGTGAACTTCTTAAAGCCTTTACAAGCCAGTCAGGTACCTGGAAGCAAACAAGCTTCCAGCTGAGCGAGATCTTATCAGAACGGCAAACAATGGCCTGGAATTTGTGCAGCAGGAGACTCGGTGAAGGGTTTGCATCTGGTATTTAGGAGACTAAGTTCTGGTCCAAATGCTTTCCCTCTTGATTTTGCATCATGCTCCTAAACGCATATGGGGTAGCATGAGCATTCTGAGGCTATTCTTCCCAAATGGTAATTCTTTTTTTTACTTTATTCTGACTTGTCATATACAATTGGTGTGGTTACCAGCTAATGCTGCCAAGAGGAGAAAACATATCATTTTCTTATTTAAATCTTTCTGTGCTGATTACACAACTCTGCATTTTCTTTTACAGATTTTGGTTGATAGACTGTCGACAGACACAAGAATCTGTTACTTTTGCTTCCCAAGTGTACAGAGAGATTATCTGTGTCCCCTACATGGCCAAATTTGTGGTGTTTGCCAAATCACATGATCCCATTGAAGCACGGTTAAGATGTTTTTGCATGACAGATGACAAGGTGGATAAAACTCTAGAACAACAAGAAAATTTTGCTGAAGTTGCCAGAAGCAGGGATGTAGAGGTACTGTACAAGAATCTCAAACAGTTTTCTCCCTTTTCAAATGTCTGTTTCTAAGCTAATATTTTCTGCCTTTTATCTGCCACAAGTACTAGAAAAATAATAGTGCCAACAAATCTTGTCATGATGCAGTATCATGCATCACGATAAAATGGAAACTTTTACTTCTGTGAGATGTAAGGGAAAAGTAGTTGCCAGATAGGAGTGATGAAATCGTGTTCCCAAAGGGCAATTGCTGATCTCTTAGTCCTCAGTGGTGGTGGTCCGCAGTGATTACTTAGTTTTAATTAGCTCTGTAGCAAACTGCCAGGAGACACCTTGAATTTTTTAGTTACTAACTTCCTCTTAGAGGAATGTCTGAGTAAAGATGAGTTTTGAGGGTGTGTTGTTCTTTGCTGAACTGTTATGTTCCCGACCCTGATACTAAGTGGGTGTTGCGAGAAAAGCAGAGATAGTCAAAGCCAAAAAGGACAGGTAAATCTCAACTTCCAGTAACTCCACAAATGAATATCACTAACCAAAAAGGCAGTCAGCAGTAGTCCTGTTTTGTCAGCATCTTTGCATACCAAGAAGTTAAACTAGCAGGTTTGATTAATATTCTGCTTTACAAAACAAAAATTACATCTGTTGCTGAACAGGCAAAAGCTTTCCTATGTGGAATCCAGCAAACTGCCTGCTAAATGCAGTTTTTCTGGCTCTGTCAGCTTCCCCAGAAGGGATGACAAATTGAAAGTGCTTTAACTACATGCATGGCATATTCATCTGCTCAGTATGGTCTCTTTTCCATGAGAATCCCGCCTTTAAAAAATTTGTCCTCACTGTTCCTGAAGCTCTGACAGGCATTTCCTGAGCAGAGCAGCTAGATAAAATATGGGCTTATAGAACTGAATGACAAGGCTGAATTTCTGGAAAGTAAGGATGAGACGTTAATGTATTGGCAGTTTGAAGGCAGCATCTCCAAAACTGGTAGGCTGAGATTTAAACGTGTGGAGAGCCCATAACAATAGCAATCCAAACATGTGGGCAGTATCGTTATATAGGCATTTCAGAGAGGCGTTTACCTGAGGCCTGACTTTCAAAAGCTCTAGGCCTTTACAAATCCAGCTGAAATAAATAGGATCTACTGATATACACTGTCTTTGCCTGCTGCACCGGACTGTTTCAAGTAGATAAAACACATAGGTAATCTAATATAGAATGTTTTTGCATTGGTAAAAAGGTCCTCTGCAACTTCATGATATTCCCAGACTGGCTTATTATCCTACCTGTAAAAACAAGGACTTTTGATTTGATTGCTGAAGAAAATATTTCTTTGACTGTTATGATGAGGCCAGGTTAGCAAAGTATGTGAAAATTAGAGCCAATAAAAAATCCAGATTAAAATAGAATTTGCCCAGATTCATGACACTGAATACTCTTTTTGTCATTTATAGTGTCACGCTATTGTTATTGAATTAACAATGTATTCCGTTTGGAATGTAATAATCTGAAAGGGTTCCACAGATTTTAGGTAACGGTATGTAACAAATCTTGTAAATGCTGACAAGTCCTACCAACTTAAGAAATTGATCAAAACTACTGTGGAATAATGCTTAAGAAGAAATCCTAACCACCCGACTGTGATCAATTGCTGCTTTGCTTCTTTTTCATTTCCAATAGGTATTAGAAGGAAAACCCATCTATGTTGACTGCTTTGGTAATTTGGTGCCACTAACAAAGAGTGGGCAACATCATATATTCAGTTTTTTTGCCTTCAAAGAAAATAGACTTCCTCTGTTTGTTAAGGTAATGTTATAATATAAGCTATGGATTGTATTTTTATTTTTTGTCTAGTTCTGAGTTTACAGTAAACTCTAGCAGACTGAAGAACAGTTCCAAATTATGTTATGATAATGGATTAAATGTTGGCTTGGGTAGTCAAAACAACCAGAAGTGGCTACCTCAAATTCAGTAAAATTTTTCTCTAAATATAATTATCTGTGCCTATGTTCTGCTATATATGCTTGTGTCCGCAGCATTCTTTCAGACACACAAAAATGGTGCTTCTAGGAATCCTGTTCTCTACCTAGTCATCTAAAGAGCTGATCAAGTTTGATCTTGTTTGGTTTTCTGTATCGTGGTTCAATGTATTGTAGGAAAAAATGCGGAAGCTGCAAAAAAGTGTTCAGAAAACATTGTAGAATTGGCAGAAATCTATCAAAATATGATCATTGTACCCTACACTTGTAAATATGCATCATATGGTCGTAAATACAGATATAACTGTTCTTCAACCAATCATCCTGCCTTCAGTAGCAACACAAAACTTCTTTGGGGGTGCATTAAGAAAAGCATGGCTCCTTTTTGGGTATTTCAAGTTATGGTTTTACCGTATTTTTGAGAACAAAGGAAAAAGGAAGTAATTAATTTTAATAAATTCCCAACTGTAACCTAATTTTATCCCTGTAGTGTGTATTACTGTACTATTCTATTTTAAAAACTTTCATGGGAGTAGGAAAGTTTGTAAAACAAAAGACAAAACAAAAAAACCTTCATTCATCCAAAATTAACTAATACTTTAGCCCTAGCTATAGAGCCAGTGACATAAACACCATGGTCCACGGGGCTCATCTGCATCGTTCATGAGATCTGCAGGGAGCAGTAAGCCATGTAAAAAGGTGTTCTCACCGTGGTCTGTGCCAGCAGCAGAGAGGGCTGCTGTCACCGAGCCACCATCACCTTCTTTTCTGGAGAGAGAGATTCAGAGGGCACTGCAAACCTCTTCCCACAAACTTTTCCTTCTACTGGGACATCCCGACTACAACAGAGTACGCTGTTGCCATTACATAAAACAGTTTTAGAGAAATGCTTTATGAATGGAAACTGTCAGAAAATGGAGAAAATCAACCCACTCCCTCATTGTCTTAAATTTGCTGTATGCTGCTAGACAACTTTTAAACTCTCTCCCTCCTTTCCAGCAATATTTTGTAAGCTTGTTTTAATTTAGAACTTTGTCTGTGCCACCAGTTGGCTTTGGCTATGCGTATTTTTCTCCATGATGGATTTTCCAGAATATGTTCAAAACCCTGTGTGTCTCTGCATCTAGTATTTTCAATCTGATAAAGTTAATACACATGTATCTAATTGTATCCGTTCAAAAAACTAACAATGAGGTAATGCTTTCAGTTGTATTTCTTCTGTGATATCGTACGTAATCCTCCTGACATTTATGTTCAAAAGCTAAAACTACATCACCAGTATCTAAAGTTCTAAGTGCTTACGCTTGTTTCTACTAACAACTGTGAAAGAGATTTTTCTAAGATTCACTGCAAAATCTTAAAGTATGGCATGATGTAGTTTCTCTTGTAGGTAATAATGGTCACACCTATGAATATATTCCAGCAAATTTCTTCATTCTAAGACTAGGATTTATCAATACATTTGAGAAAACATTTTGCAAGAGAAGAAATTTTAAGCGTAATCTTTCACTGTTTTCAGCCACTCAGCCAAAAGAGTAGCCAAATGAACAAACGCAATATTTAATACTAAAATTTTGATCAAAGAGTTACCACTAACATCAGCATAAATACATATTCTTGCCATATGGGGGAAAATGACTTAGTGCCTTTTGTCACCTAATGCAAAAATGAATCTCTGTTATGACCATAAAGTTTGCGGACGATTTCAGTGAAAAATGGGTATTGTAAGTTATCACAGAAGCCCAATCGTACTGGAACGTCTCTTCTTTTTAGACCGTGATTACAGTGTTAGGACTGCCTTCTGTAAATGAGTTTCTAATGTGTAAGCGTGTACGTGCTTTTGTCTTCTCTTGCTCTGACACACAAATAAATCTATACGTACATTTACAAACAAGCAGGAAAAAAAAACCATTATTTTTGCCTACATGGACTTCTCCCACATCTAGTCTCTTTCTGCTAAATAGTTCTGAGTGGCACAAGTAGATCATACAGCAAAATAGCAAAATAACAGATTAAATGTCTGTATGTTTGCTCTACCAGGTGCGAGATACCACTCAAGAACCCTGTGGACGATTATCATTCATGAAGGAGCCAAAATCTACAAGAGGCCTCGTTCATCAAGCCATATGTAATTTAAACATCACTTTACCCGTTTACACAAAGGTACTGTGAAATTATACTGATCGATAGTCATCAGCATTATAATATAAACAAGAAATGAGCAGGAGGGCAAAATATTGTTAAAGCTTTGTAGTCAGGTATTTTAAAGAAGAATAAATACCACCCGAGGGCTTTCAATTTCTTGGGTTTGGTACTCTTAACGCCAGTGTTCAAAGATGTTATCGAATATTTTCTGAGGACTCAGAAGAGATGACAGAAGGGAGACGAAGATCCAGTTTGCTCTGTATAGCTCCCAGGGTTTCAATTGGTGTTGCACAAGACCTATGCTAATTTCTTATTTCATACAGAAATTTTACCCAGATCCTGCTCAGGGGTGAGACAGGTCTGGGACTCAGTGAGTACCTCTAGCTTCATTTTTTTGTTTTACCAAAGACTTCCCACACTGTCTAACCATGTCTTGTGACACCTCTCTGGAGATGAAGTTACCATTCATGCCTGTTTCACAAAGTGTAAGGATCATGTCTGATGTTCTTAAGATATGAATCATAGAATCATAGAATGGTTTGGGTTGGAAGGGACCTTGAACATCATCTGGTTCCAACCCCCCTGCTATGGGCAGGGACACCTTCCACTAGACCAGGCTGCTCAAAGCCCCATCCAGCCTGGCCTTGAACACTTCCAGGGATGGGGCATCCACAACTTCTGTGGGCAACCTGGTCCAGTGCCTCACCACCCTCATAGTGAAGAATTTCTTCCTTCTATCTAATCTAAATCTTGCCTCTTTCAGTGTAAAGCCGTTACCCCTTGTCCTGTCACTACATGCCCTTGTAAAAAGTCGCTCTCCAGCTTGCTTGTAGGCCCCCTTCAGGTACTGGAAGGCTGCTATAAGGTCTCCCTGGAGCCTTCTCTTCTCCAAGTCCAGGTAGCTGATGTCAGTTACTCTTCCCTTATCCACCAGCACTGTATCCCTGTCGTAGAAGGCCACCAAATTAGTCAGACACGAGCTGACCTTAGTGAAGCCATGTTGGCTGTCACCAATCACCTCCTGATTTTCCAGTGCCTTAGCATAGTTTCCAGGAGGATCTGCTCCGTGATCTTGCTGGGCGCAGAGGTGAGACTGACTGGCCTGTAGTTCCCCCGGTCTTCCTTTTTTCCCTTTTTAAAAATGAAGGTTATGTTTCCCCTTTTCCAGTCAGTGGCAACTTCACCGGACTGCCACAGCTTCTCAAATATGATGGATAGTGGCTTAGCAACGTCATCTGCCAAGTACAGAAGGACTGAAAATTATTGGTCATATTTTTCATTTCCCAATTCGAAAGTTCATGGGCTTTGCAATAGCATTTTTAGCTAACTGCCTTGTTTATCTGTGGTGATAGCGATAAAAATGTAGTGGACTTGAGCTCTAGAATTTGGAAAGTTTATAGCAGTGCCAAAAATATTTTCTTAGACTAGATTTTAATATTACATTGACTTTTGACGCTGACTTTTCTTCCTATATCTGATCCAATCTTTGAAGAATCTATGAGTACGTCACATCATGTAAATGGTCTTCCTTCAGAATATTGTTATAACAGTTATTAATGTACCTGGGGAAGAAAATGGCCCAATATCAAGGGCAGAAAAAGGAGAGGAAAACTCTAGTGTGAGTTAGTATTTATAAATAATAAGATTGAGACCAGTTGAATTCTCATAAACCTTGGGAGTGCCCTTGATTTCTGTTGAAGTGAGATCATATATTAAGAAGCACTTGTTTCCTTAGAAAGAGTCAGTTTATTGCTATTCTGTAATAACTTGGATTTTTTACTGCCCTTGTCAGATTAGGAGCTGCATGCCTTTTAGGAATGTATTAGACTGTTTTCCCAAAATCTTGCCTGTTGGTGTTCATTTTTTTCTCAGCATTTTTAGCATGTAATATAATATCTTTAATATAGCATTTTTGTATAATTTAAAAATAACACATCTCAGCGTATTTTAACTTTAAATGGGTAATGTTCTTAGCTATTTTAAGTATTTATTCGTGCTAATTTATGGGTGCAAAAGCATGTATATATTTTAAGTTTTGGTACAAATAAGGATCAGAAGTCTAACACCCAGAAGCAATGTTCCTGTTTGTAATTTGCTTGATTCTGTAGCCTTTTGTGTTTTAAACCGTCAGTTTAGTTTTGCCGCTTTTTGACACAAGAAATCAATTGCAGAAATGTACTGTGTTTTCTTCTTTTCTGTTAAATGTTGTCAGAAGTTATTTTTTCCTGCTCTCTTCTTCTAAAAAATTTGCATTTTGCCTGCTCTGTTTTCCCTTTCTCTTTTTGCATGGCATTTTGGAACTGAAAGGAATCAGAATCAGATCAAGAACAAGAAGAAGAGGTAATGTTGCTATAACAGCATGTTATTGCTTATGCATACTACTAAAATACAACTAACAGATATAGCTTGGAAGATTAAATCTGTAGTTAAACAGGCATATCAATCATTAGCTCAGTGCTACAAAAACAATGAAGAGGAGTGCACGTAAAAGGATCTTGCACAGGCTCACTTGGAATTTACTGAGTTTACAAAGTTTTACTGATTCAGATGCACTGATTTTGGAGGTGTGTAATAGTTCATTTTGCTTTCAAAACAGTTCCTTAATAATGTAAAAATGATTTTGCTCAAGAATAAGCCATACAAGTATATTTCTTTAAGCTTTATTCTCTGCAGCACAAAAAGGGGGAAATGGGATTGTTTTTTCTGATTCTGAGAACCATCCCACATCCTAAAAATAACATAGCGTTGCTACTAGACTTGTCTAGAGTATTCAGAACCAATGGATCATTGGCATAGTATACTTTTTATTAATACCCCTAAGCACAGTCTGAATATGCTTCCTGTATTTATTGGTGGTGGGTAGCGGGGAACGGAGGCAGAGGAACAGACCTAAATGCAACAGTTACCTCCATCAGCGAGTTCCCCGCTGTTGGAGGGAGTTTGCGACCAGATTGCAATTCAGCGCACTACCTGTACACCTGACAGGGCTGCAGTTCACAGATCTCATCCATTTATAACATCCAATAGACTGGATCTTACAGATTTCTGAGTTGGACTACTGAAGTCCAGTACGGAATCAGTGTTAACCCAGAAATTACAAGTAAGTTTACCCCAAGTAAAAGGTGTAGAGTTTTCATCTTTAGCATAAACTGAATTGCATCTTAAATGGAGAAATGTGGCCAACTCCCCCCTACATTCCCAGCCCTGTTCTGGCACTTACAGATGTTACCTAAGTTCTGACCCCTATGTGAATGAGTAACATCAGAAAAGCATCCCCACATTTTGATGATGTTCAGCTGTTGGAAACAAGTAAGGGTGCCAGCACTGTGAGAATAGCCTGCTCCCCAAAGATGATGGGCATCTTTTCCATGAACTGCAAAACAGAGTTCAGAAGTTTGGTTGCGTGGATTGCAGTTTCCTGTGGTTATTACAGAAATATTTACCACTCCTCTTTCAGTGCTGAAATATAGGCACTGTCAAGCGAAAGCATGGCCCAAGTTTTTAAGCTAATTCCCACTATATTCATTCAGAAGGTAACATTTCTTATCAGGTGATCATTCAGTTTTGTACCAAAAGCGCAAAACTAATTCTTTTAGCCTCTGTAATGCTGTTTATGCATTCCCAGCGAAGTCCCCAAAAGTTGTTTTTAATAAATCTATGCTCTGTAAAAGCAATGTAAAGAATATTGGAAAATTATTTTTCCCAACATTGATGACTTCTTATATTTTTATATAAGAAACTAAAGCACAAAAAGACAAGCTCATTGATGGCTATAAACACCTTCCATTTACATTTTTTTTACTTTATTCATTTTTATGTTAATAATATTAATTAATATCCTGACATAATTCCAGACTAATTTGGAGGAACTTAAAGTAAGGAGAATTAAAGTATGTTAGGGATCCTAGGCTACCATGTAGGGCGATCTGTGCATCAGAGGAATTCATACTATTATCAGTGTGTAATGCACACTAAGTGTGAAGTTTAATAACCTGAGCCTAAAGGATTGCAAGGCATGTGTGAACACGTAAGTGTTGCCAGTGATTTACTTGTATTCATTTTCAGTTTATGGAAAAGCAAGAATTAGTAACATCTTAACTGAGACAATATATTGCATTTATCTTTATAAAGAATACTTTTAAATAAGTAAAACCTTTTCAGCACTCACTGAAAAACTATCTTGGGGGCTTTAACATACACAGTATATTGTATCAGCAGTACTGCACAGCTGATTTTCATTCCTCACAGTCATCCTATCACCACATGTTTGTAGAGGAAATTAAATGTTTAGTGCTGCTTCTAACTTGGCATACTTTTGCATATCCAAATTTACACAACAACAATCTTTTTTTGCTTGTGTGGACAAATGATTGTGCTAGCAGAATTGAAAAAAGTCAAACTACAAGGCAACTTCAAAAATTTGCTTCTTGAATTTTCATAGTCTGACATTGCATCTTTTAAAATGTTTTTTTGGCAAGGGCTATGTTTGGTTTTTTTGAGCAGCAGTAAAATTGTATGGCTTTTTCAATCTATACCCAAATACACTCTGAAAAATCAAAAAGATGACCTCTGAGGGCCGTCACTGCTTCCATTTAGAGGTATCAATAGCTATTAGTGGCATCGAGTCCTAGTTCTTGCCTTAGGCAGTAGCACGTCTGCAGTCATTTCTGCACCTGCTTTTCATCATCACAAAGTAGAGGCAAAAATGCAAACCGTGATCTCAGAATGAATATGTACAATGAAACTATGTATAAAGCATACTAGTTGCCTTCCAGATGAAACATACGCCTTCAGATGACCATATTGGACTTTTTTGCTTTAGATGGGAAGAAACAAATTAAGAACAATGCAACAACATACCCTGGTTTTTATACATACATACATACATACATAAATACACACACACACACACACACACCCCTTTTGTATAAAAGTCTGGATCCTCTGTACTGCTAGTCACTTTTAAAGAAAATACATTGCAACATTTTGCATCTACTATTGACCATAACTATAGCAAAGTAACCATTTTTCTGTTATTAGAAACACTAAATAAATTAAGCCATGCTTTTATTATTTTAAGTACATTCTTGGTTCCATTTAATCAATGAATCTGCGTGTCTCCATACATCTAGTGGATTTGACTCAACCTGTACTACTTCACTAGTGACTTTATGTATATTGATTATATTCAAACTTTTTAATTCCCCTTTTTTCTCTTCCAGGTGGATATGACTTCAGAAAAAAGTAAGATTTTCTTTTTTTTATTTTGAAAATGTTATAAAGCAGTTTGTATGAAAGATGGTTAAGAATAAAGATAAGCATGAAAGAGAGCTAAGCTTTAACTGCTGTTGCTAATAACATCAATACTTTAAAAATGTAATAGAAAACCATTTAATACCAAAGCAGCTATCCAATTAAATACATTTTAACGTATAAATTAACAAGTAATACAGTTTAAAACAGTTCATCTAAGCATTTACTTTCCTTTGACATCCCTAGTGATCCTGCTATTGCTATTTTGCTTGTATGAATGCTCATCCCTCCGCTTTTTTGTTTTGTCCATTTGTTGACACACATTGTTGCCTCATATTTGAGATAAATGACAGTATCACTTTTAATGAAAATGAATACTCCAATATATTTCATTAAACTCATGAAATACAACCGTGCAAAAAAGTGATACTGCCCAAAGTAATCAGGCTGTTTAACCCTTCTCCCTCCCTCCCCCCCCCTTTACTGTGGTGAAATATGGCTGGAGATATGACTGTTAAGCTTGGTACAGCATATATACCCTTTGTATATACAGAATCATCCCATTATTATTAGAAACTGAGGGTGAGTGGTACACAATGCCAAAGATCTCCTTTAATGAAGATGCAAATCAAACAAATATATATTCAGTCTGAAGAGCATCTCTAATAAGAACTGTTTTCAAATGCAGTGATTTCTTAAATCTGTTTAGGAAAAGAATGCCTTCTGTCTTTTTTCCCGTTTAAAGTGCAATGTCTTGCCTTTTTTCTACATTGCATTTTAAGGCTTATTTATTCTTGATGTTCTGTGTACATGCTTTAATTGGAAAGACAACAGCACTATGATCCTGAAGTCAAATGGATGATCATTCCCCTATAACCTCCGCTGTCTAAAGCAGAAATGCTTCATCTAGAGAATAAAAGACATCAGGGTGACAAAATAGTTAATAACTTGGTGGGAAATTGTGTTCACCATGACTGACAATATTATTAGTATCAGATTTTTGCTCTAGTTCATTATTATTTACACCAGGACGACCAATTTCATCAAGGTGGAAAAGACACACTGTAGTATAGCCAGCAGGGTGGAATTTCAGTTACCCTGTGACTCACCTTGGCCATGGGAAATGGGAGGTGAATTCAACAGAACAGTAAAACCTACAGGTGAAAAAGGGCTTGAATGCTCCCCTTGCCACATAATTATTTGTTCAATGCAGTACACCCACCCTAAGAAGGGTGGCGGGACGCCGGTTTGGTGAGGTTGCTCACTTGTGGCTGTCACAGACTCCTCTAAGTTCAGCATAGCACAGAGCTAGAATTTTTGGTGACTCTTATACTGGGTGAATGAAAATACCAGTCAGATAGCCATTTAGTTTTGATACTTCTTCCTTTGGCTTAATGGAGAATTAGTTTAGAGAATTAAGTAGAACCAGCTGCAAGCAGGAGAGTGAGAGAGAGACGCTGTTCCCAGGAATCATTAAAAGTATAATTAACAAACACAAAAGAGACCAACAAGTGCCTGCTTAAAGACCGGTGAGATGGCTCACATCATGATATCCAAATTGCTGGAAAAAGTGCTTACAACGAAGTGACTTCTTTTCAGGCAGTTAGCCCAGTTCCCTTATACTTCTCCTAATGGTCTCTTTAGTTTAAATAACTTTTAATTGCAATGAGGTAATATACAAGTGACTGATTTTTCAGCCCAGTAGTTGTACTGTTCAGTAAGAACGAGGACTCGCATGTGCCTGTCCTTGGTTCAGGAATAATTATTTACATAAAGGGAGATGGATCTATGAGACAACTCAGAAAATCTTTAAAAGAAAACTGTACAATTATAATTTCTGAGCATTGCATTCTGTTCATAACTTGTTTCAGGCCTCCAATGTTTTATTCTGTTCAATCTACATTTTCTAGCAGTCCTTCCTGAAATTAAATATTCCCAGCAGGCAGTTATGGCATAATGGGAATTACCTACATCCAGCTTACTGTATATTGATTGCACAGATTAGACAAATATTTCACCACAGTACGTTTTACAATATTTTCATGTCTCTTTATATGATTAATTTTTAGAGCTATTGTTTTTTTAACTGAAGCTACATACCCAGCAGCATTTGCAACACCTTTGCTTTGCATGGAAATAACTTGCCTTACATGAATTGGATGTATGTGTCTAGTGTGACTGTCTCTGATTTTTGGTTGCCATACATGACATTTTTGAAAACTTTGAAATCACTTCTAAGTTGATTCACAGTTTTTTCTTATTATCTCTCCTTTTCTTCTCTGTCTTCTCTTTCCTCAGTCAATTCATTAGTTGTCAATGAGGATGTTCCAAGGAAAGGACCATGCCTCTTAAAACAAAAGAATGTTTGTTTAATTGTTTAGGTGTGAAATCCCCTTAGACGAAATGCCGGTTTGCAGCTGATTCAGATCTCTACATATTTGGTCATATTTTAGATTACTGCAGAATTACTTTTAACTTTTTATTTTGGTCATTAAGAAAAAAAAATGTTAACCCAATGTTATTCTGACAGTTTGCTAACACTGGCTTTCTCTTAGAGGAAATAGACTTTCAATCAGTTCTAATGCTTTCCCCCTTTTTTCTTGTTTATTTTTATTTGAACATTGATCTGTAACATCTGAACAATCTTGAGATGCCTATCTTTGTGTAACTTCACTGTGTTTCTTCTGTTTTTAATTTTAAATTTTGTTGTTGTTGTTTTGGCTTTTTTTTAGTGGTGTCCTGATTTGGTTTGTTACAGCTTTGGTAATGTATGTGTGGTTGTGCTATATTGATAAAATTAAGCAAGTTATTTCCTGCCATTTTCCTTTTCAGTTTTTTTTTTCCCCCCCCCCCCCCCCCCCCCCCTAGCTTTGCTTTGCTCTTGTACCCTCAGATCTTGTGGATCCACCATTCCCAGCCCATTTTGTTGACCTTCCTACCACTGCAACCAAAGACTGTCATTTTCAGTCCTGATTACATTTTCCAATCTCTATTTTTGATTTCCATTTTACTTTCAATGTTTTTCGTTCGCATCAAAGATGACGAGACAGAATCTACAGAAACATCTATCCTGAAAAGCCATCTGGTTAATGAAGTCCCTGTACTAGCCAGTCCAGACCTGTTGTCTGAAGTTTCTGAGATGAAACAAGATTTGATCAAAATGACTGCCATCTTGACAACTGACCCTTCTGATAAATCAGGCTCCATTAAAGTGAAAGATCTTGGAAAACCCACTGAAGAAGAGCCAGGAGAGCAG